AATCTGGAGTTGCTGCATCGTGTCTTCTGAAATGGTAAGAGGTACCATTGTAGAGGCCTGGAGTGGAACCTGGCCCAAGGAACAATGGATATACAAAATATCATCTTCCCCAATAGAGTCGAATGAAGCAGCAACGGAACCCATGGGGGTGACAAGATCTGGGAAACCAAGGTTCGAATACTGAGACGATGGTCTTCCGACAGAAAAACCATGCCCAGCTGAGAGTCCAGGATCGCCCCTAGGTGAAGAATCCGGGTTGTCGGATGGAGATGACTCTTTTCTGTGTTCAGCGTGAACCCGTGCGATCGTAGAGACGATGTCACCGCCTCGAGATCCATTATCGCTTGGCCGGGTGACGACGACAGGATTAGGATGTCGTCCAGGTAGCAGTAGAGTCAGACAGGGAGCAGCCGGAGAGAAGCGGCCACGGCTGCCAACATTTTTGTGAAGACCCGGGGTGCCAACGAGAGACCAAACGGCATGGCCCGGTACTGAAAATGCCGATTGTCGTAGGTGAACCGGAGGAAGCAGCGATGCGCTGCATGGATGGGAATGTGCAGGTAGGCTTCCTTCATGGAAGTCATCAGGTCTCCCGGACGAACACAGTCCAATATCGACCACAGCGTTTGCATTTTGAATTGATGAATTTGTTGAGCGCCTTCAAATCCAAAATTCCTCTCCATCCCCCCGAACTTTTGGGCACCAGGAAAAAGACGGAGTAGAAGCCGGTCCCTTGGTGTTGTAGAGGGACCGGTTCTATGGCCCAGATGTCCAAGAGCTGTTGTATCTCCGTCTCCATTAAGGACCGCTTCACTGGGTTGGATGGAATGGGGCATCGTGTGAATTTGGGAAGAGGGAGTGAACTGAATTCCAGCGTAAGTCCGAGAAATATAGTCTGCCGGACCCACGCATCCGTAGTGGTTTGCTCCCATTGGGTCCTGAAAAGATGTAACCGTCCTCCAATGGGAGCCGATTGGAGGGAGTCATTTCCCCCTCCAGAAGGGGCGGTTGGCTGAGCCCCGGGGAGGTCTCTTGAAGGATGACTGGTGACGGCCCCTGTCCCAAAAGCTGGATCTATCGGGTGTTCTGTAAAAACCTTGATTTTGAGGACGGTACTGATAGGACCCGCTGGGTCCGGGATCCGCCCGAAAGGACGGCCGCTGCGGGTATGGCGAGTAACGACGTTCCCCCTGTCTATAAGACGTCGGCATTAGTTTTCTCTTGTCTTTATCCTCGACCAGGATGGGGTCGAGTGTTTCACAAAACAGATTTGCCCCCTTGAAAGGGACGGAGGCCAGCTGCCATTTAGACTTATTGTCTGCCCGCCACTGTCGAAGACACAGGAGACGGTGGGAAGCGACTGTAGTGGCGAGGGAGCGGGAGGCGAACTTAGCCGCATCAAGGGATGCGTCGGCGGAGTATTCCGCAGCCGCTACCAGTTTGTTGATGTCCTGGTGTAAATGTTTGTTGTCATGAGGAAGGCGGTCCTGTAACTGGCGGAGCCAGATAAGAGAGGCGCGGCTGAAAAAGGACGCTGATGTTCCTGCCCTAATTGCCCAGGCAGCCACTTGATGGTTTTTGCGCATAAGAGCTTCCGCTCTTTTGTCCTCAGTACACAACCCATCCGCGACATCACTAGTCAGAACCGAGGATGCTGTCAGCTGGGCCACGGGAGTGTCAACAGATGGTAGCTGTAGCATCTCCTGGAGATTAGGTGCAGAACAGTACAACTTCCTATCCAGGCCACTGGGGGCTGGGAAGGAAGTGGGTAGGCCCCAAGGCCGTTGAATCACCTCCGCGAAAAGCTGGGGGCAGGGGATAAAGTCCTGAGCCGCAGCCTGAACATTGAAGAGGCCATCGATAGGGAGGGAGGACGTGGGTACGGCTTGTTGGTCGGAGGGATCCGCCAAATTAGTGGAAACTTTGGCCTTGTGTAGCAGAGATTTAAACAAGGCAGGACGGAAAAGCTGGGTGAGTCGAGGTCTGTCCGGCAGGAGGCCTTCGTCCTCTGAAAAATCTGACTCCCTATGGTCCTCCTCCTCCCAGTTAGAGTCCTCACTATGGGTAGAATCCTGGTAGTACTCTTAGTCAAGGTAGCGGCCAGAGGTGTTGGAAGCTGAGGAGGTGGTTGAGGATTCGGAGCGGTGGCCGGAGACCAGGCACCTGAAGCCATTAGATTAGAAATGGTGGCCGCCACAATGGATTGGACCTCCAAAGGTAGATCAGGACGGACAGCCTCTCCTTCTCAGAGTCCAGCAGCTGTGGGAGTATAGGTTGTCGAAGGGGCGACGCGTCCCGAGGATCGTTGAGGTACTGGACCTGCCACAGGTTAAGCGGCATCAGGGGAAATCCTGGCCGACTCAGAAGGTGAAACGGTCCTGTCCGAAGAGAGTTGAGGACCTGATTCCAATGGGGGCTGAGCGGCGGGCGCAGGGCCAAAGACTGCGGGCAACGGCTTGGGATCAGCAGCCAAAGACTTTTGCTGGGCCAGATGAAATTGGCGCTCCAGGGCGCGATGCCTCCATTGCTCATCCTTGCTCTTAGAAGGTCCACTGGAGGTAGCCTGAGTGGCGGAAGCCAGTGGGGCGGAGGCGGCCCGCGAGGCACGGGACCGCGACTTAGCAGGTTTTGCGGCTGGGACAGGATCCATGACCGACTGCCTGTCAGAAAGGTCAAGGTCGGATGACAGGTCTGGATCCGCCATGGTAAGGATATAGCGGTCACTAAGTAAGGTGTTTTTTTTTTTTTAGGGCAACAAACAGTTAATAGTTGGAGCCACTAATGGCAGTATAAGGCAATAATAGGTTGCCAACGGATGTTCTCCGGATCCAAGAGAAAGGCAACCACTCCGCCCTCAGAGTCCTGGTAAGGCTTAGCTGTCCAGGGCTGACAGACCGCAGGCCCGAAACTAACAATCCGGCAACTTAAAAATGGCGCGAGGCAGATCGAGAGGCTCTTGCACCTGCGCCAATGATGAATCAGACACAGCTGCAGGAAGCGGCGAACCGCAAAGCCTTCGCCTCCGTTGTATAAGGGGGATCCTCAGCAGGTGCAGTTCCAGCGACGGACAAACTAGGCGGGAATCAATCTGCCGTTTAAAAGCGGCGCGGTCAGGAAGAAAAAGGTGGCGATCAAATGCCGCTGACAGGAAGCGAGAGTCCAAAATGGCGGCGGGCGGGAAAAGGCAAAAGCCCACCTCAGCTTCACGGCAGTAATAACGGCAACAACTGTCAGGGAAGGCAATCGGGGCGATGCCGCTGTGGGTCGATCAGCCGCCGAGACCTTGAAACAGGGGTGCAAGCCAGCGGTTGTGCAGGCGATTCTGCTCCGGAGGCTCGAATCGGGAGGAAAAAGCCCCAGGACGCGCTAGCAAGGCATCAGGGCTTCAAGCTAAGCGGTCCCAAATTTTAGTTGCTGAGTGTGCTCCAGCCGGTAGCAGGGACTCAGAGGCCGCCAATCTAGTTAGTCAGAGCCGTAAGTAATTGGGGATCGACAGATGTTTTGCTGACTGGGAGTCAAACCCCAAGCCGGGCCAAGGCCCCGGGAGGACTCACCACCCCTCGTAAATGTGAAGCAGTCCAATGTCAAGCCAGGCAAACAGTCCAGAAGTAAAGGGGAAATGAATAACGAAGAAGGTAGAGAAAATCCAAAGCGAGGGTGAAAAAACAGATCGATGAGAATTGCCAGAGCAAGCCGAAGTTCAGTCTCTTCCACTTGACTGAGTGAACTAAACTGACATCAGTCGAGCAGAGGAGGCAGAACCGAGGCAAGAAATTTAAAGTGATACACACTCAGTCTCTGACAAATTCACCGTGAACATTACCCATGCTTTGGATTCTCCAAGCAGCGTGCTGGAGAATGGCCTGGAGCCCCAGATGCGTTACCGCCCCTTCACAGCTACAATAATCCCACAGAGCAGCTCCTTATACAGTAAAAAAAAAGGTAGAACTAAGAGTTTAAAGAAATTAACGAAAATAACAAAAATTAGCTAAAATAATGTCAGCCAGAGAACTCTAACGAGAGAGAAGTAGAATTGACAAGTTTCCTCAGTCACTGAGTGAGAAAGACTGGCGTGGGAGTGACAGAGTGGGCGTGGTCAGCCAGAGGAGAGAGAAAAATCTGCACTCAGTTTTCCCAGCAACATGGAGAAGAACCCAGCCAATGGATTGGAGGAGCAGCGTGCTGGAAAAATGTTTATCATTCATAGTGAGAAACAGCCCATGATTCCAAATATCCTTCTTCCAATTCACTTTCTTCTTTATATGAAGTCAATTTACTAACCTGGCATTCCCTACTATTAATTCTCCATTCTACTGAAATAGATTATGTGTATATTAATTTACATGCTATAAGGATATTTACATAAATCCTTGTAGGTTTAAGGAATGTCTTAAAAATTATGGAGATGTTTTGCATACCCATTAAATAGTATCTGAACACAATATCTCTATAAATTGTAAAAAAAAAATCAAATAATATTTATGTCCAAAATATTTTAAACAATGTTGTAACTGATAACATTTCTAAAGTAGTTTTAAAAATACAGCATAAGCAGAATACCAAAAAAGGAGATGGGGTTAAACTATAAAAAGCTATTAAACAGATTTCTAGAATGCTAATAGATTTTTCATCATGATTAAGTTTAAATATGTATCATTCTTATCAAAGGTGCTATGAAAACCAACAATTTACTAAAGTAGAGTTATTTATCACATTTGCGAAAGGAACAAGATTTATCTATATCTGAAACAATGCAGGTATTCTATACCAGAGTTGTTCCAAGCACTGTTGCTAAAGTAATAATTATACCAAAATTGACACACAAAAAGACATTTCACAAATTAATGATAATGATGATAATAATAATAATAATAATAATAATAATAATAATAATAATAATAGACAATTGGAGTTAGACAATTTGGACAGAAAAACAAGGAAGCTTATGACAATGAATCATGCCTTGCACCCTAAAAGTGATGTTGACCGATTATATTTACCAAGAGCAGAGGGTGGTCGAGGACTCCTACAAGTAAAGCAGACTGTGGAAGAAGAAAAACGCATATTAAATGATTACATCCAGAAAAGTGAAGAATCAATGATTAAGGAAATAAATAAAGGAGGCCTTCTAAAGACAACTAAAACAAAAGCAGAATATAAGAAAGAAGTAATTGAGCAGCGAACTGAAAATTGGAAAAGCAAAGCTCTGCATGGCCAATACTTGAAAAATATTGAAGGCAAAGCTGACCAGAAACTAACTTGGAACTGGTTAAGATCAGGAGTACTGAAAAAAGAAACAGAAAGCTTTATTTTGGCAGCTCGAGAACAAGCCCTAGCCACAAACTGCATGAAGGCAAAAATTCAACATGTTACCACCAACAGCAAATGCCGCCTCTGTAATGAGAAAGATGAGTCGACCACATGATGCAACAAAATTTCACAAACTGACTACCTAAAATGCCATGACTGCGTTGCTAAGATATTCACTGGAAATTGTGCCAGAAGTTTGGATTTTAGTACAGCAAAAACCAGTGGGAACATCAGGTTGAGAAAGTTTTAGAGAATGAGAAACTCAAGATCTTGTGGGAATTCAGGATTCAGACTGACAGGCACTTGGTCTACAACACACCTGACATAACAATAGTTGAAAAGAAAAAAGTATGGTTCATTGACATTGCAATACCTGGTGATGCACAGATTGAAGATAAGCAGCAAGAAAAAATCACAAAGTACCGGGACTTGCAAATTGAAGTTGAGCGACTGTGGAAAAAGAAATCGTGTGCTGTCCCGATTGTAATTGGAGCCCTTGGAGCAATACCCAAAGGGCTACCCCGCTATTTAGAAATTCTAAATTTACCGGATCTAAACATTTTGACTCTACAAAAAACCACCTTACTTGGAACAGCTTACATCCTCCAACGATACCTTAACAGTTCCTAGGTCCTTGGTTAGGACTTGAGCTGCTGAACTATTAACCAGCCACAAAGGCTCTGAATCTCACTAAAGATTAACCAATAATAATAATAAAAGGCCTACCCCGCTATTTAGAAATTCTAAATTTACCGGACTTGAACATTTTGACTCTATAAAAACTACCTTACTCGGAACAGTTTACATCCTCCAACGATACCTTAACAGTTCCTAGGTCCTTGGTTAGGACTCGAGCTGCTGAGCTATTAATCAGCCTCAAAGGCTGTGAATCTCACTAAAGATTAAATAACAACAACAACAACAACAACAACAATATATTGTCAAAAATGAGAATGGGCGTTGGTCCTACCTGAACGCCATTTCTAGTAGACCTGGTAGAGAGCATCCAGGAATGGATAGTAGCTCTATATCTTCTGCATGTAGACTGAGCATGTGATCTTTATTTGCATATGTGGTCATTCCCCAGTTCAGCGAAGGCATAGCGATGAATAGAGTTGTAACCTGTAAAATAGTAGCCCCTCCTGGACTGTGGACCAGATGTAAGGGTGGGGCTGGATGCTCTCTACCAGCTCTACTAGAAATGGCATTCATATAGGAGCATCCAGGAATGGGACATACCAAAGCCGGCTTGTCCCCTTTGGGCAGGAACAATCTGGTCCTAAGACCTCAACACTACAAACCCACTGGACTCGCCTCACAAATGCCGCCTCTGCCAAGGCAAAGGACTCCAACTTATAGTGCCTAATAAATGGAGATGTGGAGGACCAGGTAGCCACTCAACACACTTCCTCAATAGAGGCCTGTGTCGCCCATGCTGCAGTCATGGCCGCGCTCCTGGTGGAATGCGCTGTTATGTGCCTAGGTGTTGGTAGGTTCTGAATCTTGTATGCCTTGGCAATACAAGCTCTAATCCAATGACCCACCGTAGAAGGAGTGACTCTGTGTCCTAGTGTAGATGGTTGGAATGAGATAAACAAGGATTCCGTCTTCCTGAAGGAAGACGTGCATTTAATGTAGATACATAGGGCCCTTCTAACATATCCATCTCTGCTCTTGGGCATGTCTCGGCCCAGGGTAGAAGTTACGCAAGAACAATTCCTGGGCCCTATGAAACCATGAATTGACTTTAGGAATTAAAGAAGGGTCAAACAGAGGACAAATGTGAGTACCTTCCTGATGACTGCCGGAATCAAGGCAAAGGGGGGAAATGCGTATAAAAGGCCAAGAGGCCATTGACAGTGTAGGGCATCAATCCCTTCCGCCCCCCATGATCTGAACCTGCTGAAAAAACTCAGCAGGTGTTTTCTGGAGAGGCAAACAGATCTATAACCGGCCTCCCGTAACGAACTGTCAAGAGCTCCGACAGGAGTGCGAGTGGTACTGTGCCCATGTCCATGATGACCCATGCTAACTGTTGCAGGCTGTTCGGTCTCTCTGGGGAGAGAGAGACCATGCATATGGATGTATCTATTATGGCTCCCAGATGGAGCAATCTGGTGGCCAGAGAAAATTGACTTTTCCCGTTGTTTATTGGAAAGCCATGTTTTTGTAAGACTTGGATTGTAATCCTGAGGTCTGCCTTTGCCTGAACTGCTGACGAGGACTGAATCAGGATGTCGTCCATGTAACATTGGACCCTGATTTATATGGATCGAAGGTGGGCTGCCAGAGCTGCCAAGATCTTTGTAAAGGCACTTGGCGCTGAGGACAGGCCGAATGGCATGGCCTTGTATTGAGAGTGCCTTTCAGCATAGGCGAAGTGGAGGAACTGTCTGTGAGCAGGTCTGATGGGTATATGGAGATATACCTCTGTGAGGTCTATGGAGATGAGGAAGTCGCCCTGTCGTATATCTTCCAGAATTGATAGGAGTGACTGCATTTTGAAGCATTTGTTCTCCAGAAATTTGTTCAGATGTTTGAGGTCTAAAATAGCTCTGCACACCCCGGAGCTCTTTTGAACCAAAAACAGTATTGGTCATTTCATGTCAAGTGATCTGGGGCTCTCAAGTCGACTATCACAGATTTTGATGAAATTTGGTGTGAACACACAAACACGTCCCCAATGAACATTGGTAAAGTGTTATGTTTGCCGATGCAATACTTGCAGAGATATAGTCATTTGTATGACCCCATACCACAGCATTCGACAGTATGACTGTGAGATTTCAGCAACTTTGAGTCATATCTCCGGCAATATTTTGTTGAGAGTAACAAAACTTGGCCATCTTGTACAACTTGTTGTGTTCTATTAAACAAAATAATAAAACCATTCTCAAGAGCGATCTTCATCTAGATAATTGGGAGCAAAGTTGGCCGAAAATAACTGCAATGCGAAAAAAGTTCGGCTTCTTATATCTCTGGAAGGAAAGGTATGAGAAACGTGAAACTTTGTGGGTAATAGCTTAGCAACACAAGGTTGTCAAATATAAAATTTTATTCTCCGACTGCTTTCCAATAGTTCACAAATTGAGTGTAAAGTTGAGAGTTTTTGTAAAAATGCCAAAAAATGGGACCCTTCTCATAACAACTCACCTGATAAAATACAGGGAAACACCAATATTTTCATGTACAATTGCTGTTATTAGATGTAGTGCCTTTTGATGTAGTGCCTTTGAATATAGCTAAATTTTGTTACACTGCCTGCAAAATTTGATTGCAGTGACAGTCCACATCAATTGTTTAAAAAATCTTGCCTTTTATTTTATTTTGTTTTGTTTTGAATGCTTCTTATTTGTAATGCTGGTCTGTGACCATAATAAAAAATACTATTTTGTCATAATCAAACACTCCCTGAATGCACAAAATACATATATATACAGCTACACCAGGTGAAGTAGGCATTTTTAAAATACCAGCTTCAGCCCATCTCTAAGTGGTTCAAATCTAAATCAAATAGTATAATAATTGAAATCCAATAATAAAGCATTAGTAAAACAGTAATGTAAGTGAAAAGGCTTTTAAAACTAGGGAAAATTAATAATTCTTCCTGATTCTTGACACTGAAAAGGTCATCAGAATAATTCCAGGTGAGCTCAAATGGATGTTTCTCTTGGTAGTCTCTTATGATTTAAAAGAAAGGGCTGTCCAATGAAAAGTTTTCAATTTGCATATTAGTCACTAGGCAGATTTACTGGTGATTCAATGAAGGTATTATGAGTTAAAATATAAAATTCCAACTCATCTCAATAAAATCAGTCTGATAAAGCTGCCCAAAGTCAACTTGTAAAGGAGATGGATGGCATAGAAATATAATAAATAAATAAAATAAATAAATTCACTTTTTATCACTTTTATAATAATCAAAACCATTCCTTTCTATCACTGCTTTAGCTTCTATCTAATGTACCTAGTTTATTTTTCCTAAATTCTTCTAAATTTAATTATAAACCAAAAAGAGTAATTAAGGAATTCAATGGTTTTGAAACTGAATTAATTAAATTAATAAATACATTTGGTTATGTTCAGAGTCCTTGTTTTCTGTCAATTTTCTGCTTTCTTTGTTCTTTTCTATAAAGAGTTCTGAGTTATCTACTTTAGAAAGTTGGAAAAGAATTTATAAGATAAATAAAACAGACTAAAATCTTACATAAGATACATTCTGTCTGTCCATCCATCCAGTTTTTCTACTATTTATTTGTATTTACTTGTTAGATTTGTACTTATCTTTTTTCTGGAAACTCGAGAAAGCCTTAGCTTTACACTTCTATATTGTCTAATAGCCCTGTAGATATTTTGTGCTACAAGAGGATCATTGGCCAAATATCATTTATAGCTGACAGATTTGTATCTAAACTCTCTATCCAAGGTCATGATATAAAAGACAAATATATTTCAGAAAAAAACATTTTGGGGTTAAGAAGAAACCAAAGTGTAATAGGAAAAGAAAGTGTTAATTCATGTAATTATATTGATGTTGTATGATAGAATACAAAGACTCTTTTCTATTCTTCAGTCTCTTTACAAATAATTATTTCATGATGAAATTTAATCACCCGTTATCGGTATTTCCTCTAATTCTAAAGTGCAAGAATTTCTAGAACTTTAATTTGGCAATAACAAAACAATTAAATTGAAATTTCTCTTCCATTAACATTTTATCTGTAAAGCCAAA